CAACATTATCTGAAAAAAACTTTACCTAAAGGACAACCATATAATTCAATACGCAATGCAATAGAATCAGTGCTTCCTTGGTTTGTGACCTTAAGTCGCACAATATCTGTAATAATATTCAAATCATTTCTAACCACATCAATAGGACCTGTGTTAGCCTTAAAAGTCTGAAAATTAAAAATATTGCTTATATATATGTGTATAAACTTTTTAGATTAAATAAATATCATTTTATAGTTAACTAATCAGTAATAAATTTATTTTTAAGTTTCTAAAGATACCTTTGGATATTCTTTCCATGTGTTCATATCATTATAATAAACATTAAAGTTAGAAACAAACTCTTGGATATTTTCATCATAATGCCCTTGGGTGGCAATTCCAGTGATTCTTGTAAGTTTCCCCAATTTAATTTCTATAAGTTCATCTTTTTTACCAGCCGAAGGTTGCCAGAAAGCAACTTTCTTATCACCTTCAGGTACATTATGCAACCGAGCTAAATGACCATATGCTTGACCTTTCACTGACATTCCTGTAATATCTGTATTTGGAATTCTTTTATCTCCCATACCCAATGGAGCAACACAGTCTTAATAAAATATTTTGAAATTAAAAAAAATAAAAACTTACAACAAACTAATTTATAGAAACTGAAAAATAATTATCTTATAAAAATATATACTTGAAAAATAAAGATCATCATTATAGCTTGTTATAGGAACTGATTCATCAATAATCGGCGATGCTGATAACATGGTGCAGCCTCTATCTTTATTAATTATAAAAGAATGACATCCAGCAGTCTCTGCACACTGTTTTGAACATTCTTCAGATGTGAATGTTGGTTTTTGGATTGCAAGTTTGTCATTTTTAAGAATGTTATCAGCAAACTTCATATTTTTTAAATATTGAAATTCTCTCAGTGTACTTTGGTCTAAATAATAACAGAGCATATTATTATCTCTTAAATGTTTTTGTTTTTATCTCTTAAATATTTTGTTTTTATCTTTTAAATGTTTTTGTTTTTATCTCTTTAATGTGTATTTACATATAAAAGAGATTTATCAAAACAAAAATACATTTAATAGATCTCCTACATACACCCAAATTTTTAATCTTTTTCAATTAAATCTCATATCTAGTCACTTTACAAATCTTACAGTTAATTGATCAAAATTGCATTCTGGACCTTCTGAACTTATGTCTCATATAACTTATGTCTCACTTCTGAAATTATGTCTCATATGTCTCACTTCTGAGTTTATGTCTCATATAACTTATGTCTCACTTCTGAACTTATGTCTCATATAACTTATGTCTCACTTCTGAACTTATGTCTCATATAACTTGTCTCACTTCTGAACTTATGTCTCATATAACTTTTCTATTATTGTATATTTCTATTATAGTATTTATTTAAGCAACTTAAATTATTTTGTACAGGACTTATTTGCTTTAAAATATATAGACACATTTTTTCGAAGATAACGTAATTTGACTTTTTTGGAAGATTTAACTGATAAACTTTTTTAATATAAGTTGTAAGATGAAAATATTTTTTATAGACTAACTTTTTATATAAAAATTAAATTTGCTGATTAAGTTTTGTAAATTAACATTGTTAATTTTTATTATTTCCATTATAAACTCATAAAAATCCATAAAAAGTTATAAATTAAAATTGATCAAAGTAGACACTCAGAAAACAAAATAAAGTTAACATAAACCTTTTAAATCACCAATATAGAATATCTAAATATCATTGCCTCATTTGAAAACTACTCTCAATATTGAGAAAACAGAGGTAAGGCTACCAGTAGTGACCTACCATGAGGCTACACCACTACCATGAGGCTACCAGTAGTGAAGCCTCATGGTAGTGGTGTAGCCCAATATATTAGAAATGACTTGAACTTTTTAAAAATTATTGACAAAGAATTATTCAAATCAAAAAATTTAAAAACTTGAACTCAAAACATAATGAGTAGATTGCAAAACATTAATCATAGAATGTATCTATAGTTCAACTGACTCAATAAGAAATATTTTAACTGAACTCAATGAATCTAAATACAGAGCCAAAAATCTTGTCAACAAATATCAAAAATTCAAGTTAGTAATTTTTGGAGTTTTTTTAAGTTGTTCGAAATAAAACAATAATTGAGCCACCATTGGGCTCCACCACTTGTACCAACAATTGAACCACAACTGGACTCTTGTTTTTATTTTAATAACTAAAATAAGACCTATTGCAATGAATATTTAAATCTAAATATTATAAATATTCTCTAAATATTTAGACGACCTATAATGAGATGAATTTTTTAATGACAAAAATGTTGATGATATGTAAGAAATATTATTTGCTGATATTGATAAATGTTGATGTTGATAAGAAATATTATTATCTATTGTATTACCTATTCTATTAGATGCTAATATGATGATTGGTAAAATGTAAAGAGAAGTAATAGCAGTATTAGCTGATTTTAAAATTAATAAATTTGAACCAAATGAAACAACATTGTTAATACTGATCAAGCTTTGGTTACCTTACTAAATATGTAAACAAGAGCAACTATTATACTTTATTACTGATAGATAATAATTATTGTCTATCAGTAATAAAGATTCAACTTTATTACTGATAGACAATAATTATATACCTATTGCTCTCTCCCAATAGCTTTCTACTGTGGATGCCTGAGTAATAGAGTGATATTACTTCCACAAGTTAAGTGCTTGTTTAGTTTCAAAGAACTTTTTAAAAATTTCAAATAGAAAATAAAATACACTAATTGCACAAAATTTGTTGAAATATTGTGACACCATCTGATTTAACTTTATCTCCAAGGTTGGGGCCAGATGCATTTGATCAAATACAATTACGTTAATTTCAGATTTTCAAATACAAATTCAAATACAAATATTTGTATTTTGGGTTTAAAAAAAAATAATGTTATTAATGTTAAAATGAAAAAAAAATCTTTAGGTTTTTCTAAAATAAAAACTGCTGTAAAAAATATATTTCAATTAAATACAAATGCAAATGTTTAAAAAATTTTTTAATCAAATACAATACCAATACAAATACAATTTAGTACTTAACTGCCAAATACAAATACAATTTAGCCCATAACTACCAAATACAAATACAATTTCAAATATGTATTTGAACTTAACCCTGATCATTTCATGTAACATCATCTGATGATATGATTAACTTGGGATTAGATAAATGAGATAAAAACTTCTTAAATGTTTTCTTACCTGTTAACTATTGTTGTAACTAATCCTAAAACTGTTGTCACTTGTGCTAAAACTATTGTTGTCAAAATTGTATCAAAATTGTATCAAAATATTAAATATGCTTAAATTAACAGGGGCTATTCTAGACCGTTTTCGACAGCGCCGACCGTATTTGGGCGCCGAATTGGGCGCCGCCCAAATTCAGGTAATTGAAGACCTTTTTTTTAAATTTATTTAACATATATGTAAATATTTATAAATATGATAGAGAAATATATATATATATATATATATATTTATTTGGCATTAATTTTGAATAGATCCGTTGTCTTGCAGCCGTTATATAAAAATAAATGAATATGAAAATAAGTTTCAATTTATGGTTTTTTATTTTGAAGAGACTTGGACAAAACTTTTTAATTTAGCGCGTATATTCACCGGACCACCAGTACCATTGTTTTTAAAGTTCGTACATTAGTAAACGCATTTAGGTTGATTAAAGTAGTAATGTTTTTTTATTTAGCTTATATTTATTTGTTTTAATTTTTGGCAAAAATATGGCAATAATTATTTTAAAGATTTTTTTTTATTAACTACATCAACAGCAGTTTCATGCAATAATTATTTTATACATGGAAGTTATACATATAAGTTATGGACTCAATGAGATTAGTAAGTTTGTTGCAGTAAATATGTGGGTTTTTTTCCCCATAAACATTTGCAATCTAGTAAATTTAAGGTAATTTGGCTATTTGTTAATTTATTTTTATTTCAGTGAAACTTCTGTGCAATATTTATTTTTAGGTAGCAACTTCCTTATAAAATTTATGTAACAGATCATCTTAACAGGAATGAATTATAGTGAATTATTTCAAATACATTTAAACATAATAATAAAGCTAAAAACTAACTAAATTTTTGTTTATCTAAAAACAAAAATTTTGAAATTTTCTAAACATGTTTCGGCCCCCCCCCCCATTACTTAAATTTTAAGAGGGGGGAGTGAGGCAGAGGGGTACCGCCGCCCAAATTATTTTCCTAGAATAGCCCCTGATTAAATTTCTAATTATATTTTAATTATATCTATAAACCATCATGTTACTATATGGATATAAATTCCTAACAACTTACAGTTGCAGGCTAAAGATGGAGAGGTTTTTACAACAGCCCCATGTGATTGGGAATTAAAGTCACTCCATGCAATAACATTTCCAATGGCATGAAAACATTTAGTAGCCATATTGTAAACTTCTTTTTCTTCTAATTGGTAATCCCAAACATTAAGCTGACTTAGGTCACCATAAAAAGACTCTGCAGGTGTAAACCCTGCTCCAAACTCATCTTGCTCTTCTCCAATAATGAATATTCCACCTTTAGGAATTTTCTTTCCTTGTTCAATTGGAATACTACCTCTAAAATTAAACAAAAAAATAACTTTTAAGTAATAAATAAATTAGGAAAACTAAATAAAAAGTCTGAAAAATTTTACTTATTTATTGGATAGTCTTTATAGCAACAGATGATAACATCTCTTCATAGAAACAGATGGTTACACCTTTTGTTCAACTATTTTTTATCCTATTTTCATTATACATATAGTATTTGATGACTATAATTATTTTATTATCATAATTATTATTATTAGCATATAACTTTACACTATCTGACAGTATAGAGTCTTTTGTTCTTTTTTTTTCTTTTTGAACACAAGAAGGGAGAATTTATGGAATTTGGTTTTACAAACCTCTTAATCATAAACTTCATTCATTTTTTTCATTCTCATATTGTAAAACTTTTTTACTGTCATACCAACTGCTTTATGTGCTAAATTTGTTGTGAATAAATATTCATAAAATTTATATTTGTCCCCAACATCTCAATTTAGTTTAATAGTGGCTTTTATATCAGTTGTCATCCTAAGTACATGATACAGAAATAATTTTAGTTTTTGGTATATATCAAGCACGCACCATATTGTGCTCTCAAATAAAATTTAATAGTAATGCTGATAAGTTAGAAAATAAGTTAAAGGATTCAAAATATTTAAAACTATTTTAAAATCAGGTTTTCCCCTAAGTAAACACAATTTATATGATATATCACTATAATTTTTTATTATGTTTTTTAATTAATTTAGTTTTAACAATGTTTTTAATTTCGTAAAATTTTAATAATTTTGTGATGAGACGTTAGTTACCAAATAATCAAGTTTTAATAATTTAATACATAATAAAATAATTTAATTTATACAAATAAAACATAACATAAATCATAATATTTCATTTATCAATAAAAAAAAACATTGAATGCATAAAATCACCTTTTTTGAAGAACTCCATCTTTATATGAAGTAAGTAAACCAGAGCTACTACTCCATGTTACTACAATGTGGTGCCATTTTCCATCATTTGCGCCAAATCCTAAACTCTGACTTTGATTGTTTATAAAAATAATAAAATTTGTATAATCAGTTAAAACTAACGCATTATCATCCACAACACCATTTTCAAGTTTAACTGCATATGAAAGCGGAGTACCAAATTTTTCTTTATTAGAGGTACGCATCCAAAATGCAATGCTAAAACTAGATAAATCTTTTCTGCCATGCACAGATGAGAAAGAAGGTGACAAGGTTGATTGAAAAGATAGATCAAAGTCTTCTGTCTCCCCTACACAAATTAAAAGCCTCAAATTTATATATATATATATATATATATATATATATATATATATATATATATATATATATATATATATATATATATATATATATATATACATATATATATATATATACATATATATATATATATATATATACATATATATATATATATACATATATATATATATATATGAATATATATATATATATATATATATATATATATGAATATATATATATATATATATATATATATATATATATATATATATATATATATATATATATATATATACATATATATATAACCCTCGGAATTAGGTCTTATTAGAATTAGGTCGGTATTTGGCAATGCCGACTTAACTACTGACCTTAATGTGTTTGAGGAAAAAAATTGCCGACCTCGTTTCTATGTTTTATTTAACCCCATTGTAACAAATTTTTTTTGTTACAAAGGGGTTTTGAAACTATTTTTCCATGTCTTTCTGAAAATCTTTTGAAAGATCAGTTTTTAAATTACTTGAAATTATGAATAAGTCAATTAAATCTTCTGTTGCAATGAAATGAGCTATTTGCTTTATTTTTTTGTTTCTCTTTTTAAAAAGTTTAAAACTTTTTTTTTTAATCTGACTAATTAATCAGAGCATGAAATGATTAAAAATTACTACTTTATATAGATTACGGCATTTTTTTAAACAATTTTTTTTTTGCAACTTTTTGGAAAAAATAAATCTTTATATCATTTAAAAATAATAAAACACTTTTTAGTAACTTAAATAATATTTGTTTATTCATTTAACAATTGTTAGAAGTAATTTGTAAAAACGTTTTGTGTAACTTTAATATTTAATATTTTAAAATATTTCAAAAGATAAATTTTTAAGTAATTTAATTTAAATGTAATTAAAAACATAACAAAAAGTAATTTTCGATTTGAGTTTTCTTTTAGTGCTTATATATTTTCTTTTTCATCAGGAATTGTTTTCTTTTTAATTTTTTTTTTTTTTTAATTTTCTTCCTAGTTTTAGTTTAGCTAGCGTTTCTTTTTTCAGCACCGGTCTAAAATGTTTAAAAATCATCTAAACAGTAATCGTCAAGTTGTCAAAAAATAAAATTATTTGTGTGGTCAGCAATAGCGTTCAATCGCACACCTTTCCTGTCCAAGCCTGATGGGCACTTTAAAATACACAATCCACTAGCTAAACTACATAAAAGATGGTTCATAATAAATTGTGTGCAACTAATATCATTAAAATGAATGTCATTGAAATTAATGTCATCAAAACGCTTGATGATTTATTAAGTACATTTAAAAAAATTTATTGAAGCAAATTATTAGTATAATGAAAAAATCTATTTTGATTTTCGGAAAGTAAAATGTTCAAGGTAAAATATTAAACTCTTTTGAGATTCAAATAATCTATAAAAAACTGGATGATTAATTAAATTAAATAAAAGCACATCTAAACAGTTACATTGGCAACACTACAAACTGCAGAAGAGTCTAAGTATAAATTTTTTATCTATTGTATGTTTGACTTTATTATTTGACAAATAAATGACCATATTATTTGACAAATGTAACATTTATTACATGCTATTTCTAATCAAATTTTTTATCTATTATAAACCTTGCTTACTCTCCTTTATAAGTTTTTTAAATCTTATTTTACTTCCATATCTAATTCCCTATTATCAATAGTATAAATTAAAATGTATAACAACTTCAATAAATAGAGAAAATACTTTTATCGCATTGTTTTCCTGAAAATCCTGGAGCACACAAGCAATTTATATCGCCACTGATCGATTGGCAAACTCCACCATTATGGCATTTTTTATAAACACACATGTTAAACTTATGTTGGCATTGTTCACCATGATATCCTGGAGCACATTCACATACAAATCCAGTTTTCTTATCATGACAAAGTCCATTATTTTGGCAAGGTCCAGAATCACAAAAGTTCCATTTGTTCTAAAAAAAATGTTACTCTATATAATCTTATTTTATCATGTTGTATAAATATGCTTACATCATTTTACACATTGCATTTTTACTTAGGCTTATATTACCTTATTAAACCAATTATCATCAGAGAGAAAAGTAAAGCTAATCAAAAGCAGCAAAAAGTCAATCAAAAACAGAAAAATACTGATATTACATATAAACTATAACTACAAAAGCTACTTGATTGCTTGCATCTGGTATATCAAGTATAAAACTGGTATATCAAGTATAAATCATAAGTTATTACCTGACAAGTTTCCCCAGTATAGCCTCTCAAACAATGACACTTAAAATTATTACCAATTGGTTCACAAAACCCAACACCAGAACATGGGTCAGGGTAACATGGGTCAACTTTTCCTTCACAAAATTCTCCAACAAATAAATCATTGCAAACACATTTTGTTTTCTGGTCAGCAAGATCAATGCATCTGCCATTTTTGCCACAGTGGTTGGTTGTACATTTTTTCAATACCTGGCCACAATTGTCACCCCCAGTTCCTGGTCTACATATGCATTTATAAGATTGAAACTAAAGATGAATGTAATTATTTTGATTGTAAATTTTCAAAAGTCTTTAAACAAAGATGTTTTTATCTAAAAATAATAATACTTTATCCAAACAGGTTCCATTGTTAATACAAGGTTGAAGCTGGCACTCGTCCACTTCTTTTTCACAAGTTTCTCCCCAGAACCCTTTTTGGCATTCACAACGAAAGTCATCCCGTAAATCAATACAATGTCCTCCATTAAGACATGGAGAACTTGAACAGTCATTTATATCTTAAAAAAAAATGAAATCTTTAAAAAAAGTAAAAAAAAAATCAAATATATTTAAAAAAAAGATTTAGAAAAAGATTATCTTATTTAGGTTAAAAACTTCTGTTAAATACAAAAACTTCTGTTTTTTAATACTTAAAATATCTTTTAAGTGGTTTAGTAAATGACAAAATTAATGTTTTAAAAATTGCACATGATTGTTACAAAAGTTTGAATGACAGTTATGTAAAGTAATAAAAATAAAAAATAACTGTTATTTCTAAACAAAAATTTAAGAACAGTATCAAATATTAGTGCATTTTTAAATATTTATAGAAAAAAAGAATTGTATCTGATGTCAAAAAAAGAAATTATTTCATCTTTTAAAAAACCTTTAGCAAAATAAAAATTCTATAACATTACAACATTTCATACAATTTCTATAACATTTTTACAGCATTTTTACATTGTGTTGAATTAATTTTTAATTTAAATTGAATTTGCTTTGCATTAAATTAGTGAATTTTTCTAAAAATGTTCATAAACATAAAGTTCATAATAAAAGGAAAAAAAAATACTTATATATATAAAAAGAAAAAAAAAAAATTATGACATTATAAATCCCATTTATTGTAATTTTATTTTAATTTTTATCATAACAAAGCAATTTAGTTAAAGCTATTCATGTAAATATATAAATATATTTTCCAACGGAAAATAAAAAAATTTTTAGAATGAGTTATTACAAACCTTTAATGATTTAAATAAAACTAACTTTAATTAAACTATCCTTAAATTAAATTAAACCTTAATTAAACCTTTAATTCTTTTTTAATAAATTGTGTATTTAATTATAAATCATTCAGATCTTAAAAGATCTTCTATGTTATTAGATCATGATTATTTCATAAATCATAAAGCATTTTATAGATCATTTTGTACATCATAGTCTCATAAATCCAAATAGATTATGTTGAGTACCTAATTCTTAATACTACCTAATAATAAATTCAACAAAAAGTTTTTTAATCTGCAGTCTAAAAAACTCCAAAAATATTTTCCTATAAAACAATTCATCCCTTGGTGTACCATTTTTGATGTTTGAATAAATAACATGCAAGAAAATTACCTAAACAACTGCTAACTGAAACTGATCCAATTGATGACGTTGTTTTTAGATCAGGACACCATTCACACTTTACTTGACCATATTTGTCTTGATATTGCCCTTTAGGGCAACGTAAGCAAGGTTCAACACGATTTGCTGAATAAGTTCCTGGTAAACAGGCAGCTAAAAATAATCAATATCAAATGTTTTAAAATTAATTATAATAACTGATTTAAAAGTATTTATTTTTGATTAAACTTTATTTGAAAATCTTACTTCCACAATCAAAAACAGATGTAGCTCCAAATTGAAATGTAGTTGTTCCAGTAGGACATTTAACACATGATGTGCTTCTAGAAACATTTGTATAAGTACCAAGGGGACATTGATTACATGGCGAAAATCCATTCATTGAATAATGACCAGGTAGACAAAGTTCTAAAGATAAGTACAGTATTAAAGTAACTTATACAAGACTTTGTAATGCATTTTTCAATTAAAACAAAATTTTAAACTGGGCTAAATTCTCTTATACAGCAACATAGTTCAACTTTTTTTTTTTTTTTTAATTGTTCACCTCCCCAAGGCCCGAGGGGGCCACTACAGTCATTTTATTTATTTATTTATTTTTTTATTATTATTTTTTTTGTTAATTTTTTTTTTGTTGTTAAACTTTATTTAAAGATTTGAATCTTAAGTACTTTGGTTTCATTTCTTTATTAAAATTTAAAAATAATGTTGCAATAAAATCATTTTCGATAAATAATTACATCATCATTAACCATTACATCGTCATTTTTTATTATTTAAAATTAACTCTTTATTGATTGAAATAAACTAAAACATAGAGCATTTTTACACTGGTGCTTTTAATTAACAGTTAAAATAAATTAAAACATGGCATTTTTACACTATTTTAATAAAGTTTAAAATTAATGATTAAACGTTTTTATAAACATTTAATTAGGAAGTAAGTACTAGTTTTTTTATATTCTGTATTAAAATGTTGGGAGAAAAAGAAAAATATAATTTAAAATAATAATTATTTATCCAAAAAAAATTTTTTTTTAAAGTTTCTTTTTATATAACAATTTCAAATAATTAACTGCTTTAAATTGAATTGATTTTATAAAATAACAAAGAAAAGCTTATAAATTTGTAAATACCAATTAATAAAAGTTCTATTAATACTTTGAAATATAGACAGAAAAAACAAGTTCAAGAGGTCAAGAAATTTGGAACTTCTAGTTTCCTAGTCTCCTTATTACTGATTTTATGCTTGGCATGCAACTGTAGCTGATTCTTACAGTGTTCCTGTTGAAAATTTGTGGTTTGTGGTTAATTTAAAAATATTTTCCAATCAAGTTTAAAACATTTGATCTTACAACCTGTTTAAAATGGAAAGGCACCAAAGAAAATCAAGTTTACAATTCAATAAACTAGAATTAAGAACAGTAACTTGTAAAATAAATAATATAATTTGTGTGTGTGTGTGTGTGTGTGTGTGTGTGTGTGTGTGTGTGTGTGTGTGTGTGTGTGTGTGCTAGTGTGTATATACTATTTTATTGTTTAAATAAAGAAATCAACTTTTTGATAGCACTTGAAGTTTTATATCTGTTATCAGTCATCAGCAATACTTTTTTTAAATCAAAAATTGGAGAACTGTTAAAAAAAAATTAACAAATTAAATAAATATAATGGAATAACCTTTTACATCAAAAAAAATTACTTCTTTCTCAATTTGATGCAGGTTAAAAATAATTTTAAAACGACACCTTAACACTGGTTAAAAATATTTTTAATTTGTGCTGAATTGAGAATGGGGGAATTTATTTCAATTTCATGTGTTGCATGGTTACTTTTCTAACCATGCAACACATGAAATTGACTAACCACAAAAAAAAAAACTAACCACAAAAAAAAAAATATTTTTTATGGTTATTTTTTTAACTAACCAAAAAAAATTTTAGCTTTTTTAATTATCTTTTCAAAGTTTAGTATCAACTTTAAATTTTGGAAGTTTGAAAGATTTTACATGCCATAACTTAATTCAAAGGAAGTTTTAATTTTGCCAAAGTATGAATTTTTTTATTTGTCTTTTTTAAACAGTTTGTTTTATTAATGGTTTGATTTGTGTTTAGAACATATTTAAGTTGTAAATTTTATATTGATTTCATGCATGACATACTATATATTACTGTAGCTGATTTCTACAGCGTTCCTATCAAAATAATTTGTGTTGTTAATTAGAAAATGTTTGCCAATCAAGTTTAAAAAGCACTTTTCTTTATTGGTTCTCACTTTTTTACTAAAAAGTTGTACCAGATTATTTTTACAGTTTTTCTGAAAAATGTTTTCAAGAAATTAGTAATAATAATAATAATAATAAAGTTATAATATTTATTTTACAAATTATTGTTTCTTATTTTAGTTAATTGAATTGCTTTTGTGGTTTTAAGGCACCCTCCGATGTAATAAAATATTTTAATAATAATTAATAATTCCATGTAATTTCAAACAGGTTATAGGCTCAAATGAATGTTTAATATATTTTAATACCAATAAAATTTAGATATTTATATATTATAGTTAAACATTATATATAATAGATGTAGAAATAGACAAATTTTTTCTAATACGTTTAATAACAAAATTTATTTTAACTAGCAAACATATAACTTTTAATTTAAAATTTTAAATAAAGTTTAATATATTTTTTTAAGAAAAATGATGAATGAAGAAAAATAAAAACCATAAATAAAAGTTTAAAAAATTATAATAAATATCGGAAATCACAACAAAACTCTGACTCTCTTTCAATTAAACAAACATTTTTTTGTTACCTTTGCAAGATGTAAAATCCTTTGAATCTCGTTCGGTAGCAATTGAACCAGGTGGACATGAAAGACATTTGGTTTGACCTGGATTTGGTTGGAACATACCATCTGGACATTTTTCACATTTGTTAGAGGTAAAATTTTTAAATGTCCCTGCACCACACACAACTAAATTAAAATTAAAATTATTTTATTAGGGATATTGATTTTATAATAATTTTTTAACTTATTCAAATTAAAAATTTTCGGTACGCAAATTTTTAACTTGAAATTATTAACTTGAAATTATTAATTTGAAATTATTAACTTGAAATTATTAACTTGAAAATACGATGGATAACATTCCGAAAGGAAAGTCATCCACTGTAGAACTGGTGGAATTTGCTGCATTGACGTTGTTAAAATCAAACTTGCAAAAACGATACGTATTTGCCTCACCATAAGCCACTATTGCAGCTACTAAACAACCCATTGTCAACTGACCGCAGCCGACAACTTCACCAATACTAGATCAACCGACGCATCGACCAAGACCACCAAAATTCAAATCTAACCCAGATCAGCTAAACACCAAGACCTTCACAAAAAAGTACATTAGAAACACAATATTTTCAACATCCATTCATTTACGCTTCTGGGTTAACAACCCATGCTCTCTAAACAGAGCAAAAATGATTGAGCTAAAGGTAAGACTAGCAGCTATGCCAGTAAAAAACCAACCGCACATCATGTTTTTTGTTGAAACATGGTTCAATGAAACAGCAGATACAATTATCAGCAGATATCAGCTTCACCGAGTTGACAGAAATAGCAGAGGAGGCGGAGTTGCTATCTCCACTAAAGACAACATTATGGCATCAGAAGTCAGGATTAAACAACAAGGATAATAAAGTACGGAAGGGAATCATTCTTGCTAGGCTGCATTTACAGGCCTCATGATCACGATGACATAGTACTTGACAAAGTGATTGCATCTATAGACACATATTATAGAAAGTTGTACAGCTATGCTTCTCTATGGTGATTTTGATTTTAGCCACACATGGTATGAGTCTATCAACATTGGGGGTGGAGTAGAAACTGCTGGCCACATGATTAATGAACAGTCTCAAGACTTTAAGTTTCAAGAATGCCTTGCAGAAGCACATTTGACACAGTTGGTAACTTTTCCTATGTAAAACTACTGCAAATCATATCTTGTATTGCCAAAAACAACTCTTGACCTAATAATCAACAACAAACCAGACCAAATATATGATGTTTTAGAGTCTGATCCTCTCAGACACATGCTAATGGGACAGTCATGCGCTATCAAAAAACCGGCATCTAATCTGGAGTAAAGCAGATTACAAGTTGTTATCTCTGCATATAAAAGCTATCAATTGGACTATAGTTTTTCATAGTTGTTCAACAGATCAAAGCTAAAACATTTTTGTTAAAAAATACAATAAAGCATTTACGCTCCACATTTTGACAACAACAATGCCTTTTGCAGCGGGGAAAAAAAAACTGGATCACACTAGACGTTATTGCTGCAGTTGACAAGAAGCACGAACTTTGGGCAAAATATTGAGCATCTGGTAGACATACTCAACTGGCACTTCGCTAGGCACATTTGGCTGCATCCAAAAATGTGGCTAAAGTTATGAGGTTGGTATATTAACTTAAGAGGAGAAACTTGTTAGAGAATTAAAAACCAATCCAAAACTTCTCCATGCACACGCACGAAATAAGCAACACATTCAAGACTCTATCAGGTGCCTCAGAATGCCAGACCAATCTAACTGAAAACACCGTCATATGCAAAATATTAAACAACTAATGTCACAACCCAAAATAAATAATTATTTTGGGTTGCAACAGTATTCATCCATGCATGTGGTGCATTGTTGAATTGGATCAAAGCGTGGCTTTCAGATCGCAAACAACCTGTAGTCATGAAAAGACATATATCAAATTGTGTATCTGTATCAAGTGGAGTTCCACAAAGTTTGGTTCTAGGACCATTATTATTTGTCCTTTTTATCATTGATCTTCCAAACAATATTGGGCTTGACATCAAATTATATGCTGATGATATCAAAATCATTGGCATCATCAAATCTGAAAATGACTGTTCCATTTTACAAGATGACATAGACAAAGCTGTGGGGTGGTCCAGAATTCAGCGCTTGTCTTTCAACTTGAACATTGAACCATATTCAATGTGCAGCTATGATGGATCACAAATAAAACTTGTAGTTACCAAGAATGAAAGAGATGTTGGCGTCATAATCTCAGATGATCTTAAATCTATAAAAAATAAATTGAGACAGCAGCCTCAATGACCAATCAAGTACTTGGCAGGCTGAGGTATTCCGTAGTCGAGGTATTGTTGTTTGGAAAACATTGTATATAGCTTATATTGCCCGCATCTTGTATTCGCGATACAAGCCCAGTTGCCGTTTCCAAAACGCGACATCGAAACACTAGAAAAAATGCAGAAACGCACAACAAAAACGACTGCACTATTAAAGCATTTACCATACGCTCAAAGATTGCAAATATTAGGTTTAACAACTCTTGAAGACTGCAGAACACTGGGCGACCTAATTCAGCAATTCAAAATCACTCAAAACACTGACAAAATCTTATTTTATGTGCCACAGAACCAACATTTAGTTAAACTGAATTATAATCTTCGAAGTCACAGTCAGTACCTATAGAAACAAATAGTAAATTATTGTATTAAAAGAGAACATTTTTTTATAAATCCAAATGTACGTCACTGGAACGCACTCCCCAAAAAGACTATTGATGCGCAAAGTGTCAACTGCTTTAAAAATCTTTTTATCTAACTACAACTGCTTGGTATGCAGCACAAGACTGTCAGAACAGAGGAGCCTGGTGCTGCCCCTCTTTATCAATCATTTTATATTTATTTTTTGTTGTAATTTTATGATTGATTACTTAATAAACTAAACTAAACTAATACAATTTAACATATCAATAACATTAACATGATTAAGTTAAATTAAATTAAAACAGCATGAATAAATTAAAATGAGCAACAACATAAAATAACAATAATGAGATTTGAACATCACATCATACTTCTAGTTGTAAACTAGAAAAAAAAATTTCTAGTTTACCATTACTGCTATCTAAACAATTAACAATAACTGCAAATAAATGCAAATAGACTATTAACTTTCTTTCAAACTGTTGTTTTTAAACAAATAGTCATCATCATTTGTTGATGATGCCTCAATAAAAATACTCATTTTGGCAAATGTTAAATGCATTTATCTAATAGGCTAGCCTAGCTGTAAACTTATATTACATTGTTACTTGCTTTTAATGCTGGGTGTTTTTTTTTAACTTTACTCATGGCTTTTTACTACTGGCTTCTTAGTAATTACAGAACTGAGATTAATAGTTATGAAGCCAGTTGGTAGTAAGGAGAGACTGATTTCATCAACAGATATAAAATATCAGACTATTAACAGTGCCATGCTGTGCATGGATGGTTTACACCAATGCACACCATGCTTGGTATGTATTGATGAGACCACATTAGGAGCTATTTGTTACAACATTAAACTGGTCAGCGTACTAAGAAAACTGCATAGCTTATTATTTATATATTATAGGCTGTCATGCACCATCCATGATCAAGTCAAGTTCTCTTTCTTATCAAACCTCTTCAGAGATACAATGCATTAGATATACAAGAACAAATTTTCCTAGGTATTTATTTTTGCAGGTATTATATAATATTTAGTAATACATTTTCTCCAGTTTGCAACATTTTTATTTTCAACATTTTTGTTTGGCCTTGTCTTTTAAGCATGTGGCATAACATTATTATGTTTTGCCTACTTAACAACTTTATAGAATAACAACAAAAAATAAGTCAAGCTTGTGTTTGTCATCTTGACAGTTTTTGTTTTTTTCTAAAACTTTGAAAAAAAAATTAACCTTAAAACTTAAAGCTGCCTATAAAAGTTATGTAGACATCAACTTGGTGACCAGTATAAGAGATAGGCACTCAATAGTTGCTGCTCAGTATGCTACTATGGAATGACTGAATGGCTATTTGGATAGAAAATTTCATTATCTTTCTATTTAACGATTGTGTGTCATTAACAAACCAATGGTTACATGACCACAGCAGGACTCACCAAGAAAAATAAATCAACTATAATTTATCCACAGTGTTCGTTGGCGTGAAGCCAGCTTTGCAACCCCAAGTAATGACAGTAGAGATAAAGCTCAATATGATGGTGAACATCAAGATGTTTTTTATGAAGAAACTTCTATCATTTTATCTCAGACTTTTTATCCCACGTTGATCTTGACAAACTTGTAAAAGACCTTTAAATACTCAAAGTAAAGGTATAGATCATGCTTTATGCAGGGGGGGATCTTTTGATGTCTTAAAACCATGTTATTCATTTTAGAACTGGACATTCAATACTATTCGTGTTTTATACTAAGAAAAATATAGGTGGTACTTATAGTACCACCTAAGAAAAATATAGGTGGTACTTATAGTGAAACAGACCAATAGTATATGTGCATATACTAATGGTCTGTTTCACTATAAGTACCACCTAAAAAAAGTACCACCTAAAATAAGTACCACTTAAATAGGTACCACGTAAAATAAGTAACACCTAAAATAAGTACCACGTAAAATAAGTACCACCTGAAATACTTCAATTTAGATTGAAGTATTTAACGAAGTATTTAAAAACTTTAACTTTAGTTGTATTTTTTTTTTTTTTTTAATTATCTTCGCTTCCAAAAAGGCTGCAAGCAACCACTAATTAGTGTTGGAAGTTACTGGAAGAGAAAAGATGAAGATTGTAGATCAAGATAATGATTGACAGACGACTTAAAAGATTGCAAATTATATGAATCAGGAAACCAAGATGAAGGAAGCGAATTCCAAAGAACTGATGTTCGAGGAAAAAAACTAGATGAATAAGAGTTTTTGGAGCACTTAGGAACAGTAACAGAAAAAGATGAGACTTAATTGAATGACGAGTAACACGAGAATAAATTTAGTAGATGGCACATGAGACGCTAGCTCCTTTGAGCAGTGCCCATTATATTATTTGTAGAAAAGAGAAAGAGAAGCAACATTACAACGATGTGAAAGAGGTTGAAAGTTGGCTGCAAGA